AACCTAACCTAACCTAACCTAACCTAACCTAACCTAACCTAACCTAACCTAACCTAACCTAACCTAACCTAACCTAACCTAACCTAACCTAACCTAACCTAACCTAACCTAACCTAACCTAACCTAACCTAACCTAACCTAACCTAACCTAACCTAACCTAACCTAACCTAACCTAACCTAACCTAACCTAACCTAACCTAACCTAACCTAACCTAACCTAACCTAACCTAACCTAACCTAACCTAACCTAACCTAACCTAACCTAACCTAACCTAACCTAACCTAACCTAACCTAACCTAACCTAACCTAACCTAACCTAACCTAACCTAACCTAACCTAACCTAACCTAACCTAACCTAACCTAACCTAACCTAACCTAACCTAACCTAACCTAACCTAACCTAACCTAACCTAACCTAACCTAACCTAACCTAACCTAACCTAACCTAACCTAACCTAACCTAACCTAACCTAACCTAACCTAACCTAACCTAACCTAACCTAACCTAACCTAACCTAACCTAACCTAACCTAACCTAACCTAACCTAACCTAACCTAACCTAACCTAACCTAACCTAACCTAACCTAACCTAACCTAACCTAACCTAACCTAACCTAACCTAACCTAACCTAACCTAACCTAACCTAACCTAACCTAACCTAACCTAACCTAACCTAACCTAACCTAACCTAACCTAACCTAACCTAACCTAACCTAACCTAACCTAACCTAACCTAACCTAACCTAACCTAACCTAACCTAACCTAACCTAACCTAACCTAACCTAACCTAACCTAACCTAACCTAACCTAACCTAACCTAACCTAACCTAACCTAACCTAACCTAACCTAACCTAACCTAACCTAACCTAACCTAACCTAACCTAACCTAACCTAACCTAACCTAACCTAACCTAACCTAACCTAACCTAACCTAACCTAACCTAACCTAACCTAACCTAACCTAACCTAACCTAACCTAACCTAACCTAACCTAACCTAACCTAACCTAACCTAACCTAACCTAACCTAACCTAACCTAACCTAACCTAACCTAACCTAACCTAACCTAACCTAACCTAACCTAACCTAACCTAACCTAACCTAACCTAACCTAACCTAACCTAACCTAACCTAACCTAACCTAACCTAACCTAACCTAACCTAACCTAACCTAACCTAACCTAACCTAACCTAACCTAACCTAACCTAACCTAACCTAACCTAACCTAACCTAACCTAACCTAACCTAACCTAACCTAACCTAACCTAACCTAACCTAACCTAACCTAACCTAACCTAACCTAACCTAACCTAACCTAACCTAACCTAACCTAACCTAACCTAACCTAACCTAACCTAACCTAACCTAACCTAACCTAACCTAACCTAACCTAACCTAACCTAACCTAACCTAACCTAACCTAACCTAACCTAACCTAACCTAACCTAACCTAACCTAACCTAACCTAACCTAACCTAACCTAACCTAACCTAACCTAACCTAACCTAACCTAACCTAACCTAACCTAACCTAACCTAACCTAACCTAACCTAACCTAACCTAACCTAACCTAACCTAACCTAACCTAACCTAACCTAACCTAACCTAACCTAACCTAACCTAACCTAACCTAACCTAACCTAACCTAACCTAACCTAACCTAACCTAACCTAACCTAACCTAACCTAACCTAACCTAACCTAACCTAACCTAACCTAACCTAACCTAACCTAACCTAACCTAACCTAACCTAACCTAACCTAACCTAACCTAACCTAACCTAACCTAACCTAACCTAACCTAACCTAACCTAACCTAACCTAACCTAACCTAACCTAACCTAACCTAACCTAACCTAACCTAACCTAACCTAACCTAACCTAACCTAACCTAACCTAACCTAACCTAACCTAACCTAACCTAACCTAACCTAACCTAACCTAACCTAACCTAACCTAACCTAACCTAACCTAACCTAACCTAACCTAACCTAACCTAACCTAACCTAACCTAACCTAACCTAACCTAACCTAACCTAACCTAACCTAACCTAACCTAACCTAACCTAACCTAACCTAACCTAACCTAACCTAACCTAACCTAACCTAACCTAACCTAACCTAACCTAACCTAACCTAACCTAACCTAACCTAACCTAACCTAACCTAACCTAACCTAACCTAACCTAACCTAACCTAACCTAACCTAACCTAACCTAACCTAACCTAACCTAACCTAACCTAACCTAACCTAACCTAACCTAACCTAACCTAACCTAACCTAACCTAACCTAACCTAACCTAACCTAACCTAACCTAACCTAACCTAACCTAACCTAACCTAACCTAACCTAACCTAACCTAACCTAACCTAACCTAACCTAACCTAACCTAACCTAACCTAACCTAACCTAACCTAACCTAACCTAACCTAACCTAACCTAACCTAACCTAACCTAACCTAACCTAACCTAACCTAACCTAACCTAACCTAACCTAACCTAACCTAACCTAACCTAACCTAACCTAACCTAACCTAACCTAACCTAACCTAACCTAACCTAACCTAACCTAACCTAACCTAACCTAACCTAACCTAACCTAACCTAACCTAACCTAACCTAACCTAACCTAACCTAACCTAACCTAACCTAACCTAACCTAACCTAACCTAACCTAACCTAACCTAACCTAACCTAACCTAACCTAACCTAACCTAACCTAACCTAACCTAACCTAACCTAACCTAACCTAACCTAACCTAACCTAACCTAACCTAACCTAACCTAACCTAACCTAACCTAACCTAACCTAACCTAACCTAACCTAACCTAACCTAACCTAACCTAACCTAACCTAACCTAACCTAACCTAACCTAACCTAACCTAACCTAACCTAACCTAACCTAACCTAACCTAACCTAACCTAACCTAACCTAACCTAACCTAACCTAACCTAACCTAACCTAACCTAACCTAACCTAACCTAACCTAACCTAACCTAACCTAACCTAACCTAACCTAACCTAACCTAACCTAACCTAACCTAACCTAACCTAACCTAACCTAACCTAACCTAACCTAACCTAACCTAACCTAACCTAACCTAACCTAACCTAACCTAACCTAACCTAACCTAACCTAACCTAACCTAACCTAACCTAACCTAACCTAACCTAACCTAACCTAACCTAACCTAACCTAACCTAACCTAACCTAACCTAACCTAACCTAACCTAACCTAACCTAACCTAACCTAACCTAACCTAACCTAACCTAACCTAACCTAACCTAACCTAACCTAACCTAACCTAACCTAACCTAACCTAACCTAACCTAACCTAACCTAACCTAACCTAACCTAACCTAACCTAACCTAACCTAACCTAACCTAACCTAACCTAACCTAACCTAACCTAACCTAACCTAACCTAACCTAACCTAACCTAACCTAACCTAACCTAACCTAACCTAACCTAACCTAACCTAACCTAACCTAACCTAACCTAACCTAACCTAACCTAACCTAACCTAACCTAACCTAACCTAACCTAACCTAACCTAACCTAACCTAACCTGGTCGTGGCGACTACTTAAGCCCCTCCACCACGCCAAGGTCTCACAGCTCCTTGGAGGGGAACCTAACCTAACCTAACCTAACCTAACCTAACCTAACCTAACCTAACCTAACCTAACCTAACCTTTTTTTGAGGGGAAACCGCATGGCACCAGGGACTTCAGTCTATCGTCCCTGGTAGTGTCGGGCGCTACTCCGACAAAAACCCCTCCCTGTGCCCTAAACCCTGATCCGGAATCACTCCCGGAGTATGCCTCGAATCAGAGTCTTTTGTCTATATATTCAGTCCACCTTCTTCACCCCTCTCTATCCTTCTTTCCTCTTTTTCTTTGTCGCTTATAATCTTTGTTATTGCATCCTGCACTGCTTTCCAATTTGGTTTGCTAGCTAACATCGTTGGTATACTGTTTTCCGGACTTATTTGGGTCCCAATTTTCGTGTTTAATACCATCCTCGTCTGAAGCGATCGGGGACACGCGAATATCGCGTGCTCCACCGTGTCGTTTTCCCCGCAAAAGTCACAGTCCGGAGTCGTTGCCTTTCCAATCTTATGTAGGAAGGCTTTAAAGGCACCGTGTCCCGTTAAAGCCTGAGTCATGTGAAATCCTAACTGTCCGTGCCTTCTGCTAATCCATGGCCGAAGTGTTGGTATTAATCTTCTGGTCCATGCCCCCTTACTTTCATTTGCCCATTCGTTTTGCCATTCGTCTAAGATCTTTTCTCTTTCCATTTTCTTAGCCTGCTCTTTAGGATGTTCGCTTTCCCATATCCGTTTCCTTTCCCTTACAAGAAGGTGGATAGGCACTATAGACGCTACTGTCGTCACCGCTTCAAATGAAACTGTCCTGTATGCTCTGCTAATTCTCAGAGCTATTTTTCTTTGGACGCTTTGAAACACCCTTTTGTATGATGCTACCCCCATTACATTCGCCCAGATCGGAGCACCGTACAACATAATCGACTGTGCGACGTAGCCCAACATGCGTCGTTTTTTCTCCCCTGGACCTCCAAAATTTGGCATTAACCTACTCAGTGCCTTAACCGTCGCTTCGGCCTTCGTAGCTGCCGACCTTATATGGGGACCAAATCTAACTGTAGAATCCAGCATGATACCCAAGTACTTCAGCGTACTGCTCTGTTTTACCGGTTGTCCCAATACTGTAATGTTTATGTCCTTCGATGGTCTCCCATATCTTAAAATTATTGACTCTGTCTTTTCCGGAGCAAGTTCCAGATGATTTTCATTTAACCAATTTATTACGCTGTCTAGCGCCTGTTTCAACTTTCTAGCGAGTGGGTCCCAATTTCGATCTTGTCCTATCAAGGCCACGTCATCAGCGTAACCGACTATCTCCACCCCCGCGGGAAACCGCGTGTTCAATAAATCGTCATACATTACGTTCGATAATGTCGGTCCTAGAATGGAACCGTGATTACGGCACACCATTCCGAAGGAGTCTGTCGATGAGCTCTCCACGAGGTTTCTAGAACCTGCTTCACCGCATCAATGGTGGATCTCCCTTTCCGAAAACCATATTGTCTTGGTGAAAAACCCCCCTTAGACTCTATATCCTCCTGTAGCCTTACATTTATCACCTGTTCGTATAGCTTGCCTAAGGAGTTAATCAAGCATATAGGTCTATATGTCTTATGTTGATTTTCATTTTTTTTCGGTTTCTCTATCAGAACTATCCTGCTTATTTTCCATAGCCTCGGAAAGATACCGTGTGTTAAAAGATCATTTAGTACACCCAATATGAAATCCTCAATTGCACCGCCTACGGCAACCTTTACTGCCTCCGCAGGTACACCGTCCGGCCCCGGCGCCTTCCTATTTTTCAATTTTCCTGCGGCTTTCCTCAGTTCCTCCATCTCTACCAACGGGATTTCCTGAGGCCTTTCCTTATGCCACACTCTAGCTGGAGCCATAGGGAATAATTTACTTATTTGATTCCTTTTTTCCTCCTTCGTCAACTTTAACGGGGGGTATGGAGCCCTCATGGTCTTCATAACTATCTTGTACCCATCCCCGAAAACGTCCCTATCCAAATCGTTCATTAAGGTTTTCCAACAGTTACGCTTGGATTACCGGATGCTGTACGTAAGCTCTCTTTTTTTTACCTTGTACTCCTCTAGAGCTGTTGCCAGCTCTACGTCATCTTCTCGAGTTCGCAGCCTGGTAACTCTTCTGCGTCGTCTAATCGTCTCGCTGCGAAGGATCGCTATTTGGTCGGTCCACCAATATGGCGCCAGTCCATTTTGCGTTCTAATCTTTGGTGTGGTATCACGATATGCCTTCTCCATAATATCCGATAAGCTGTCGGGTGTGTTATCAACTTGTCTATCCACGAGCCTCCTCAGCTCTCCTCTTAACCGTTGTTCATTTATCGGACCAAACACCCAGGACTCCTGCGACCTATTTTGCCCAGAAACACTAAATATAGTGGTGTGGACTGAGTGACTCCTCATCATTTAGGACCTGCCATCTACTAATTTTGCCCAATTCATTTTCCGTAACCACCGTTACGTCTATTATGGACCCGGATCTCCCTCTTTCGAAGGTGAAAATTCTGTCTTGGTTTAGCGCCGTCATACGTAGAGAGGACAATAGCTCTGCAAAAATCTTCCCCCTGGCGTCTTCATAAGTCTCGCCCCACATAGGGGACTTAGCATTAAAGTCACCTGCTAAAATGACCATACTCCTGCCTTTATTTATCACGTCCACAGCTAGTTTGTTCATATACTCCTCATATTCTCCTATAGTTACATTTGGGGACACATAACAACTATATATGATTGTGTTCTGGATTCGCGCCCAGACAAAGCCGTCTCCTGCTCCACTAGCTGTTATACCCGTCGTGCGTCCGACGTAGCCGATCGCTGCATCAGACCTGTTGTCTCTATGCCATTTTCTACCTTTAACGGCGTTTTTATTAGGTTCACTTACCAGGAGATACTGCGCATTTAATCTAATGGCCGTAGCCTCCGCTAGGTCCATAGTCGCTACGCTTCTGTTTGTGTTTATTTGGACAAAGTTTAACATTTATAATTATTTAAATAACCACTTAAAGAATTCCCCAGATCGAAAACTTAATACTTTCCATAAGTAAAACATAATACTTGTCTGTCTAACGAAGAAGACTGGTCGTATCAGTATCTCCTCTTCTTCTTTAACAGAAGTCTCGTCCTTCTCAGGGCGTTTCTGAATTCCGGGCATGTACCCGATCCTGCCATATGCCCCTTTCCTTCGCACGTTAAGCAGCTCGTGGTCTCCTGCCTGCAGTCCCTTGCCAAGTGACCCTCTTCTCCGCATCTTCTACACGTTACTACCCGTCTAGCTTCCTTTATCTTGCATTCCATCTGCCGATGGCCAAACTTCCAGCATCTACAGCATTGGTTCACGTTAACTCTTTCTTTAACTAAGCAGTTGCTCAGGCCTATCCTGATATTTCCTTTCTCTACTAGTTTTCTGGCCTTGCTTTCTTCCAGAGTCACCGTAACCGCTTGATTCCTCCCGAAGAAAGGTCTCAACTCGCCCACTTTGCAATCCATGCTATCCACCTCCAGCTCCTTACTTAGCCTTTCCACGACTTCCTCCCTTGTTGTAATTCCATCAATTTCTTTAATGTATAGCGTTCTTTCCTTTCTGGCGCCTATTAGCTCTGTCCTTATGTCTTTCTCTTCTTCTACCTTTTTCCTAATTTCCTCTATCGCGTTTCCATTTTCTTTATTTATCACCATTAGTAAGTCTCCGCTTTTAGATTCCCTGATGGTTCTGATCTTTTCCACCAGGTTCAGCTCTGGATTTATCTTTTCCTTCACCTTTTTTAGCAGTTCCGCGTATGTTTTTCTCCCTTTCCTAATGATGATAGCCTCTGTGTCTCTTTCTTTCTGCTGAAAGGATTTCCTCCTATCCGTCGTGCTTTTTTTGCTCACTTCTTCCGGTGTATAGATGATACACTTAATGTTTGTCTTCTTGAATATACATTCCGCTTTTTTTCGCGTTTTTATGCCTTCGCCATCGGACCTCGGTGGGTAGATCGCGATCTTTGTCCTTTTCCCTTCTTGCATTTTATCTCTCAACCCCTTCAGGGTATCGAACCAGTCCCCTTCTTCGTTCTCTAACTCCACCTTTGTGATCCACCTTTCTCTCGTTTGACAGGTTTCGGAATCATTTAGTATCTTCGTGGTTGCTATTACAGTGCCCATTTTTTTTTTAATTTCCTTCAGTTCCGGGTATCTCTCCTCAAAAAGCTTTGTCATTTTTTCATTTTCTATTCTCCCTCCCTTTTCCAGTCCATCCGTTGTTACTACCGTATTTTCGTCCCTTCTGCTCCTAATATTTCTTCTGTTTTCTCCGTCGTCCGGGACCCCTTCTCCAAATAGATTCCTTATCCCTAGATTATCTGCTTTTTTCCCTTTATCCATTTCCTCCACTATCAGCAGTAGATCAGCATCTTTATTATTCTTAACTGGATTACCTTTCGCCATCCATGCTGCTGTGAACAATTTCTCGTTCCAGTGCTGCCGTTCTAATGGTTTGTACTCATCGTATTCTTCCACCTCTTTCAGCTGTTCCTCCGTGACCCCCATTTCACCGTCCGTCCTTTGTAATCTTCTTTTAAGACTGAGGTTTTCCTTTTTGAGTTCGGCAATTTCTAGGCGTAATGTTCTTATTTCTTCGTCCTTGTCTTTCCCCCTTTCATCCTTCTTTATTTCTACCCCATTCCTTCGGGTCTCTGAGTTAGTTTGATTTTCTGCCTTTGCATTGTCTTCGCGTTTCTTCTTTGCCTCACTTTTTGTTTCATCGTTTTCCCATTCTATATTCTTTAAAGCCAGTTTCTCCGAGAGTTGCTTGATTTCCGCAATTCCTTTTTTTATTTCCACTTTGGTGTTGGGATTCATTTTCACTAGATCCTCTAGCATTTTTCCCTGCCTTTGTACTTTATTTATAAGTGTCGACCTTGCCTTAGCTAGATCGTATTCCTCTCCACACTCTCTTCTTCTCTTTTTTTCCTCCTTGAGTTTGCTTACTGTCATGCTTCTTTCTCTAAAGGCTTCGCCATCACACGCTCTCATATCGTTAGTCCTGCTTGTTTCACCTCCATCTTTCCTTTCCGGTCCCCTGTTCCCCCCTTCTTCCATTGACAGAGCTCTCCCCAATTTTGGCGGTATTCTCTGTACTATCCTTCTGCCTTTAAAGACTAGCTGTTCATCTAAACTACCCCAATCTAACGTCAAATCTACTTCTACAACTGGTTCCTTTTCCTTATCTTTGTCATTTCTCTCTGTCCTGCTTGTCCTGCTTTCGTCTTGAATTCCGCTCATATTCGTTCCCACGAGTAGGGTCGATAAAAGGTCACCCCCCCGGGTTACGCCCATTCCGGCGGGGAAGGCATTTATACTGTGGGGTGCGCCAGGTGCCCCACAGGTTTTAACGAGGCTCTCTCGGGTTATTTTATAGAGGTTGGCTCCTCGCAGGCCGGCCGGTAAAGGCAAGCCCCCCGACCCCGAGTCCCACACAACATGCGCCGCGGTGCCATTTTTTTCTTTTCCGCGATGGTCTTTGAAGTGTGGCTCAGGGTTACGGTATTTAGCGGGTTTGTGGCACAGCAGCCCGTAACTCGGATCAGCCTCGGGTGCGTCAGTTCCCGTGCTACCACCTTCCGGTGATAGATCCTGAGGTTGAGCTGTCCTTTGTTTTCGTCGCTCCCTCTCAGCCTGTTCGGCATGGGTAACCCTGCCGGGGGTCACTTGCAAGACCCCCGCCGACATAACCTGAGAGGTCGTGGCGACTACTTAAGCCCCTCCACCACGCCAAGGTCTCACAGCTCCTTGGAGGGGAACCTAACCTAACCTAACCTAACCTCTTTTTTTTTTTTTTCGCTGATGTTGGCGACTTTATCTTAGTGTGGAAAGATGACTAGTATTTAGAGGAGGGGAACCTTCAAAAGGGTCCCCACACGAAGACTTTCTAGTGTGTGGGGGACTGTAGGATTTTTACCCACTAAAACCCCTCCCCTCGTTACCCTCTTCAACGCGTGGTATCCGGCGTGAGCCGTTTCATCTCGAGTTGAAGACGGTTTTTTACTAGGGCTCCCTCTCCCGCCTTCTCAGGTCTTGCTCTTTTAAGGTCATGATCTTCTCAACCGCACCCATAATACCCCTCCAGTCCCTTTCGGTTCTCGTGGCAAGGCCAATCCAATTTTCTGGAGTTACCTCCTGTCCAGCCGTCTGACTCATCTCCTCTCTCAGAGTCTCCCATCTCCCGCAAGAAAACACCGTGTGCTCCACCGTGTCGACCCTGTCGCAATACAGGCATCCATCCTCCTCCCGCTTGCCTATACGCTTCAAATATGACCCAAAGTTACCATGTCCAGTCAGCGCTTGGCAAATTTGATATGTCACTTCCCCTTTACTCCTATCTGCCCATATCCTGATGTTAGGGATAATCCTCTTCGTCCATGCCGACCTTCCGTAATTTTGCCACCTTTGTTGCCATGTGTCGTGGGCCATACCACGAGCCCTTTCCTTTGCCTCCTTCACGTTGGTCCCAGTTTGTACGAGTCGACGTATCATCGCTCTCTCCTCTATCTTTAAGTCTATTGGTAATACACCTGCTATGACGCTCGCCGCGTTTGTCGAGACAGTCCTATATGCGTGGGCAATCCTTAAAAGCAACCTTCTCTGTGTTCTTAACACCCTGTCTCTGTGCAGCTTTACTTTCATGGCTCCCGCCCATACACTTGCAGCATACAAAATTATGTTGTCAACAACCCCTGCCATCACCATCCTCTTCTTCTGCCCTGGCCCACCTATATTAGGCATAAGTTTCGCCAGGGCGGCGGCCGTATTATCGGCCTTTTCGCATACCTTTCTGACATGCGCCCCAAAAGTTTGACCACTGTCTATTACCAATCCTAAATACTTGACCTCCTTCTTGAGTGTTATCTCCTTGCCTGCCAAATTAAAATTCAGGCCTCTCGCCCTCCTCATCCCAGTCAGAAACACCACCTCCGTCTTCTCTGCTGCAAGCTCCAAAAAGTGCCGCGTCATCCAGTCTGCCACCGCCCTCATGACTCTGTTGGCATTTGTTACCAAATCTTTTTTAGTCACTCCTGAGACGACTGCTGCCAAGTCGTCGGCGTAAGCCACTAACTTAGCTGTCTCCTCTGTGACTACATCCAGCACTCCGTCGTACAAAATGTTCCACAGTGTGGGGCCAAGTATTGACCCCTGTGGAACGCCCATGTAGATTTCCATCTCTCTATTATCAGTACATACCTTCCTCCGATGAAGGTAGGAGGCCACCAGATTCACGAGGTGTCTATTCAAGCCCCTACTTTTCAAAATGCCGAGAATCGTGGCCGTCTGCCGTGTTAAATGCATTTTTTACATCAAACAGTATCAGTGCACACCATTGATTTCGCCTGTTAACCGATCTAACTTCTTCCATCACCTCCATGAGCGCGTCGATTGTCGATCTTCCACTCCGAAAACCGTACTGTTGTTGATGCAACCCCCCACATCTGTCAAGATCCTCCCCTACCCTCTGCAAGATGATTCCCTCGTACAGCTTTGCGAGACTGTCTATCAGACAAATAGGTCTGTAAGACGACGACAGCCCATGTTCCCTCCCCGGCTTGGGAAGGAGTACAAGTTTTGCGGTCTTCCATACCGCACCTCTGAACAACTCCTCCATCAATTTAACTACCACATCACATCTCTCCTCAACCAAAGCCTTGACCATTTCAATAGGTATGCCATCTGGGCCTGGAGCCTTCTTGTTTTTCAGCCTCTGCGCCGCCTCCTTTACCTCCGCTTCCGTTATCCTTTGGATCTCTTCTCCGTCCAACTGCAACCACGGTTCCTGTTGTTTCATTGGGAACAATGCTCTAGCAATTTCTCTCCTTTTTCCTTTCCAATGTCAACCCTAGGTGGCTTTATCTTCAGAGCGTTTCTCATTATTTGAAAACCTTCACCCCATATGTCATCATCTAAATCCTTTAGCAGCTTCTGCCAGCACCTGTCCTTCTGAATCTTGATGCTCTTTTTGTATGCATTTTTTAAAAGTCTGTATTCCTCATACTTTCTTTCCATCTCCTCTGGACCCAAAGTTCCTCTCTCTCTATCTCTCTGCACACGCCTTCTAACCGCATTTAACATAGCTTTCTCTTCTGCCAGCTCAGGCGTCCACCAGTATACAGGGTTTCCTCCCACCGTACTTATGTTGACCGCCGTATTCCGAGCAATTTCTTTCAACTCCGCAACCACGTTTTCCACGGACACCAGCTCTCCATTAAAAATCGCATTTTCCCTAATAAGACTCATCCATCCTCCACCCCCCAGAGGACCAGCCCCTCTGACTGTTTTTTTTCCCTTATATTTCACCGTAAAGAAGATGTAACGATGGAGACTAAAAGTTTCTTCATCTAGAACCTCCCAATTTTCCACGCTTGAGCTGACACTCTCCCCAGCCATCGTGATGTCTATGAAAGAGACACTAGCCCCTCTTTGAAAAGTGGGGGTATCGCCCTTGTTAGAGATTGTAATTTCATTTACCATCGTCCATTCCAGCAGCATCGCTCCTCTGTCATCTTCGACCTGGGAACCCCACAAAGGAGATATAGCATTAAAATCCCCCCCCGAGAAGTATCTTCCCTCCTTTGGTCCTCACGTCCTCCTCTAAGTCCTGGAGAAACTTCTCGAAGATGTCTCTGCGGACATTTGGCGATATATAACAAGCATAAATGAAAAGCTCGTCTATCTTCACCCATACAAAACCTTTGCCCTTTCCCCAGGAGGTCACCTTCAGATTTCTGTTCCTCACAATAATGCAAGCATCACTCTCACTATCCAAGTACCATCCGCTTTTACTCGCCAGAGCCCGATTTGGTTCACTAACTAACACTATGTCAATTTGTCTCTCTTGTGTAGTTTGCGCGAGGTTGTCATGTGCAGCTCTGCACCTATCCACGTTTATTTGTATGAAGCTTAACATATCCATTTTTAAGTCCTTTGCCCCCTTCTAGCCCTCTCCGCTTGAAGGGCTTCCCACCGGGCCTTGCACTCACTGTCCCCTGCTCTATGCCCATCCATACTGCACAGCGGACATCGCGGGTTCGCGACGCATCTTTTACTAGATGGTCTGCCCCAGTGCACCTATAGCAGAGCTTGGCCCTGGTTTCGCCTTTGCAGTTTCTGGCCATATGACCATATTGCCAGCAATTAAAACATCTAGTAAGTTCGATCCTCTCCCTGACTCTGCATAAAACGATACCCACTCTAATCCTTTCCGTCTCAAGGAGTTTTTTTGCATCTCTCTGCCATGCTTCCACTATCGCCGTTTGAGACGACCCGTACGCCGGCATGATAGTTTTTATCTTAAAATGTGCATTTTCTCCCAATACTCCACCAAGTGCCTCCTTTACCTCCTCCTCTGTCGTTATGGCGTCCATATCCTTAATTTGGATCACCTCTGTCTTCTCACCTCTCTCTTCTATCCTTGCTCCTGGGATGCCTGCCGTTATGATGTTCTTTATGGCCTGCGAGTTTGTTCTTGTAACTATCCTAAGATCCCCTTTTCTAGTTTTATTTACAAACCTTATATCGTCTGAGCATCCAGCTCTCATCACTTCTGCTTTTACATTTTTGAGGACCTCAGCATAGGCCCCCGATGATTTTACAACCACCGTATCTTCCTCTCGGTGCCTTTCATTATTCGGCCCGGTCCTCCTCGTCTGTTTCCCTTTAGGCAGATAAATATAATGTATCACGTCCTCTCTCGCATAAATGCATTCTAACGCTTTCCTGATCAAGTCTAGCATGTTACTGCCATCCACGAAAGCAAGTTCAAAACTTGTCCCACTTCCGCAGACCTCCTTAGCCTCCTTGAAAGCTGTCCAAAGAATCTCCACGAAATTTCCCTCAACCTAACCTAACCTAACCTAACCTCACCTGACCTCACCTGACCTGACCTGACCTGACCTGACCTGACCTGACCTGACCTGACCTGACCTGACCTAACCTNCACCAAAAATTTCGCGCATGCGCACGACGGCCCAAACCCTCTGGTGAGCCGTCGGATTTTTGAACTTAGTGCTAACCAGTGGACGTTAGGTATGAAAAGAGACTCCTCGATAAAGAGGCATACCTAACCATTTCACGCAAAACTGGGAGGTCGTGGACCCCTTAAACCTAACCTAACCTAACCTCACCTGACCTGACCTGACCTGACCTGACCTGACCTGACCTGACCTGACCTTTTTTTTTTGTTGCGGGGGAAAAATTCATCATGGAGATCAGGTGCCTATGCTCTATCGCACCCGATACTGCCGGACTCCTACCGGCCAAAAAAACCCCATTTCTTCACCCATTCTATTTGAACTTCAGCGAATCCGGAACTGCTATTAGCTTTCGTCGGATTTGCTGAGAACATCTGCTCGTGGTCCCTATCTTCTACTCCCCCCTAATCATNACACATTCTCTTAGTGTGGAAAGATGACTAGCAAATTCGAGGAGGGGAAACCTTCAAAAGGGCCCCCACACGAAGCCTTTCCATTGTGTGGGGGACTGGGATTTTTACCCACTAAAACCCCTCCCCTCGCTTTTACCCTCCTCAACACGTGGTATTCGGCGTGAGCCGTTTCATCTCGAGTTGAAGACGGTATTTACTTTGCCTCCCTCTCCCGCCTTCTCAGGTCTTGCACTTTTAAGGTCATGATCTTATCATGTCCATTGCCCTCGTGGCACCTTCCCTCGCGGCAGTTTGGAACATAAGCTCGTGTGCCGCCTTCCATCTGTCCATATTTATCTGTAGCACCTTAACCATTTGCAGGGTCAGCCTCACCCTTCTTCCTCATATTTTCTACCATGTCCCTATATTTTGGGCAATTCATGGACTCTGCTCTATGCCCACTTCTTCTGCACAGATAGCAAGCTGTATCACTCTTGCAGTCCCTCTTAATATGGGCGAAACCGCCACAGTTATGGCATATTTCGCCCTTCCCTTTCTCGTTACATTCCTTCGCTTCATGTCCGACCTTCCTGCAGGTGAAACATCTGCCAGGGCTCACCACGTCCCGGACCCTCTACCTGTCCCATCCTTCTCCCACTCTTTTCATGTTGAGGATCAGAGCTGCAACCTCAGCTGGTATTGTCAAGAAGGCTGACTCCTTCCCCGCTCTATTTACATTCCCTAGTACTCTGACTGAACCCACCGCTTTTAGGTCTCTGTTAAGCGCCTTTCCTAGCACCTCCCTGACCTCGTCTTCTACTACCTCAGGATCCAAATCCAGCAGCATTACACTCCGCACGTTCTGTCTGCACTTCACCTGTGCCAGCCCCGAGACCGTATCCGTCAAAGCCCTTCTAAAGGTCTCCTTACCCTCCTCTTTCTTTGATTTTATGGATATCCTCAGGCTCCCATCCTCACCTTTCGTCACCCTGTCGATCTTTACTTCTCCTACGGGCACGTCTTTCTTCAGGATCTCCGTGTAGGTCCCCTGCGTTGGTCTCACCACAAACACCTCGCTCTTCCTTTTTTGGACTGGTTTCGTCCTTTCCTCTACCTTCTGCGCAGGTCCATCTTTTCCCATTGTGATCAAGGTTATATCCTTGTCACCCTCATCGAAAGCAAGCTCCACGTGCTTCCTGATCCTATACAGACTCTTCCCCATCGTTGCATAGCATTTAATTCTCTGCTCTCCTTTACCCTTGGTCATTCTGGAGATTTTCTTCAGTCCCTCCTGAATTGTACTGTCGTCTTCCTCCTCCGTTTTCCCGTTTATCCTCAACACGAACATGTAACGATCTTTAATTTCTCCCTCCTGCTCCTCCAGTAGCTCCGAAACCGTTCTAACCCCAATCAAAGGATTTCCATTCGCGTCACTGACGAATGCCTCCTCGACTAGAGAATTTAGCCCCCTAATCTTCTTAACCCAGGGGTGCTCCTGGTCTTCCTCCCTTCTGCATATGAGGATTAGGTTCCCTCTCCTCCAATCCTCCTTTTCTGCACTTCCCAGTCTGCATATCTCGAAAGTCTCCTCCGGCCATTTCATGTCCAATACGTCCTTTAGTTCAGACGGTCCCAGATTCTGCCCCTTTCTACGCTTAATCTCCTCGATCTTTGCGGCCTCCGACATATTAGTTTGGCAGCCCACCTCCTTGCCGCCCCATGCTGGAGTTTGGCACTCCACCTCATACTTTGGCGTTTCTGCCACCTGCCATCTATGAGATTCCAGCCAGGTCCTGGTCGTTTCCCTACCTAAAACCTCTGCGCCCTTCTTCAGGTTTATGGCCAGCTCCTTAATTTCCCTTTTGGTATTAGGATTCTCCGCAATCCTCTTATCCAACTCCCTACTACACCTAATCACCATCTGCATGGCCTCTCCCATGACAAACGCGTTTGGGTCCTCTACCCTCTTCACCACCTCCGTGTCCAGCTGCCCACATTCTATGGAAGTATCCATCACCTTTCTCTTCCGCCCCGTATTAAGCGAGTCGCACCTTTTTAACTGGCTAATTACATTTAACCTGCTGTGCTTCATCGCCATTTTAGCCGGTCTCTCATCGTCCGTGATATCAATCAACGCGATATTTTCTGCAGCCATCCTGCACGATCACTGGCGGTCCAGCCCGTCCTTTTGCGCAATCCACTCTATATGCGACTATCAGTGGTCCGCGAACTGAGAACTACGCGCACCAGTCAGCAGTCGACCACCGCAGTCCACTCCTGCACACCTCCTAGGGTACGCGACACCACCGAACGCAACGCGATCCCAGGCACGCGGCACCACAAAACACACGACACACCAGATGCCTCCACGCGGCTTCCAACACGGCGACCACGCGGTGACCCTGAAGAGCTGTCGCGGCCAGTTAGGCCCTACCGACACTCACACACCTAGCACACAAGCACTACTACAGACAAGGTACTCACAGTTTGCCGAAAATCCAAAAGGGCATCCACTTGCAGGGTTATCCCCACGTGCTCACCCCGCCGAAGTTTCCAACGGCCGTAGCGGCTGAATACTCCAACAGATTCTTATGCCTCCACTCACACGCACTCACAGCACTTCCACCTACACAGTTTATGCCATTTTTTCCCGAAACCCGGAAAAAAAAAACACTAATTTCTCCCTGACTCTACACTGCAATCGTGTTCACGTGTGCACGCATGCAGTATTCGCGCCGGACTCCCAACCTAACCTAACCTAACCTAACCTAACCTAACCTTTTTTTTTTGTCGCTGATGTTGACGACCCATTATCTTAGTATGGAAAGATGACTGTAGCAATTTCGAGGAGGGGAAACCTTCAAAAGGGCCCCCACACGAAGCCTTTCCATTGTGTGGGGGACTGTGGGATTTTTACCCACTAAAACCCCTCCCCTCGTTACCCTCCTCAACACGTGGTATCCGGCGTGAGCCGTTTCATCTCGGGTTGAAGACGGTATTTACTCCCTCTCCCGCCTTCTCAGGTCTTGCTCTTTTAAGGTCATGATCTTCTCAACCGCGCCCATAATACCCCTCCAGTCCCTTTCGGTTCTCGTGGCTAGGCCAATCCAGTTTTCTGGAGTTACCTCCTGCCCTGCCGTATCGCTCATCTCCGCTCTCAGAGCCTCCCATCTCCCGCATGAAAACACGGTGTGCTCCACCGTGTCGACCCTGTCGCAATACAGGCATCCATCCTGCTCCCACTTGCCTATTCGTTTCAAATATGACCCGAAGTTACCATGCCCAGTCAACGCTTGACAAATTTGATATGTCACTTCTCCTTTACTCCTATCCGCCCATATCCTGATATTAGGGATAATCCTCTTCGTCCATGACGACCTTTCGTAATTCTGCCACCTCTGTTGCCACATATCGTGGGCCGTATCACGGGCCCTTACCTTCGCCTCCTTAATGTTAGTCCCAGTTTGTACGAGTCGACGTATCATCGCTCTCTCCTCTATCTTTAAGTCGATTGGCATTACACCTGCTATGACACTCGCCGCGTTTGTCGA